CGGAGCCTCGGCACCAGAGCAGGCACCCAGCGCTCAGGTCAAACATACTGAGGCAACGGCTGCTGCAGGCAGCCCCGATCACCGCCCCGGGCATCGCAGGAAGCCGCTGAGCAGCAGGAAGAGGACCAGAGCCTCTTCCAGAAGGCGCATGGTGACTGGCCCTGAGTCACGCTGCGTCCCCGCGCTGTGCTGCAGGCACAACCCAGCTGCCTGCAGCAGGCGCCTGCAGACGATGGGGTTTAGCTGAAGGATGCCCAGAAACAGGGTGCAGAGGAGCCCTGGAAGGGCTCTCAGGAAGATGTGACATTGGTCTCCAGGACATCTCACTAGGCCCACCGCCTCTCTCCCGTTTGGGTGCTATGCTGCTACGTGTTGCTGACAGCCAGCCCCCCTGCTGTCCTCGCCCCTGCTCCTGCCAGACAGGGTGGGGATGCTGCCTGCTCTGTTCCCTCCTCCCCAGCCCTGAGAAGCGGAGGGTTTGGGCCGTCCTCAGGCCGAGCAGAGGATGTTTGTTTGGTTTCCTTGGTTACTGCACTGCCTGCTCCAGTAATCACATTTTCCTTGTGCCGGCTGCGCCAAGAGGAGCAGAGAGGAAATCTAGAATGGCTGAGGTCAAACACCAGGCTGGGAACAGCCGGGGCCACTACCCACGGCCCCTCTGTGCCATTTGGGACCTTGCCATTGTGGGTCCTCACCCCAAAAGGGAGGTACCAGGCCCAGGGATGCAGCAACAAGCTCCTTCAGCAACAGCCTGAGGGCTGCCATCCCTCCCTCCCGTGCGAGCCGGGGACACAGGCACCGGCGCTGAACTGCAGGAGGAATTACAGGAATGAAAATGTTTGCGCAGGCAGAAGCCAAGCTGGCTGTGCGAGCGGGGGATGTGAGCGGGGGAGCCTGCGAGCGTGGGTGCGGCTGTATTTATAGCGACGGTGGCGGCAGGGGTGCACGTGTGCAGGGGTGACAGGCTTGCTGATGCCTTTTGTTCCCTTATGCAACCCTCGGCCCAGAAAGCCTGGAGCACGAACGCCAGTTCTTGGCCCTGGGAGTTTCCCCTGCTTGTTAGCGTTCACAGACAGCGCTCTGTTTTCTAGCATGGAAACCGAAACCTGAATGTGTGCAAACCATGGCTGATCTCATAACAACACCCTTCCCCCCTCAATAATTCACTTCAGCACTCGTGAACGCAGCGTGTGAGCTTCCAGCTCGTGGCTGCCCTGCGTCTTGAAAGCGAGAGCTGAGGCTCCAGCAGAGCAAGTGCTGGTGACGCTGCCGTTCTGGCGTGTAACATCTATTCGTGGTGACTAAATCAATGTGCGCTGGTAAAGCAGAGCAGAAGGGAATCACCTACCCTCCAGCGCGGCCGTACCGCATGAGCCGGGACAGGCAGAAGGGCTCAGACAGCCCTGCCTGGTCCGACCCTCCTCACCTTCCTCCCCAGCTGACATGGAGCAGGCGCAGCGGAGCCTGGATGCAGAGCAGTTACAGCAGCAGCAGCTGAAACTACGGGACCGGCAGAAGTTCTTTGAGGAGGTTTTCCAGCACGACGTGGATTTCTTCTTCCCCATGTCTCACCTGCAGATAGAGCATCGGAGACGTAAGCGCTGCAGGCACGGGCATGGGGCTGGGGGTGCTCCAGGGGACAATGACACAGGCATTAGAGATCAGTGGGACATCCCCAGTCTGAAGGCAGCCAGGGACACGCATGTCCTGCGCCAAGGCAGGACCACACACGCTGCGTGTGGGTGTGCGGTGGATTACTCACGCCACTGAGCTGAAGTCACTGCACATGGCAGCCACTGTGCCCAGGCTGGAACCCTGCATAGGCACTGGCTTCAGCTCCAGACAGGAGTTTGGGGCAGGGAAAAGGACTGCGGAGCAGCAGCAGGGGCTTCCAAAGGGATGTTTTAAGGAAATACGATTTTCCTGGGGCCCTCTTACCGTCAAGTAGAACTCGGTTCCCCATGGGAAGGCTGGCCCCCTCCTCAGGGTCCTGCCTGCACAGGGCTCACAGTGCCCTTTGCCTGACACTAGCACTCACCTTTTCACTGGCCTCTGTCTCTGCAGCCCCCTTAGGCAGCATTTCCTCCATGGAGGTGAACGTGGACATGCTGGAGCAGATGGACATGATGGACCTGTCAGACCAGGACACCGTGGACGTGTTTCTGGGCTGTGGGACAGAGGAGAGCGGCGTTGCTGGGCCCCTGCCAGGTACGGGCAGTCCCGAGCATCTTGCAGGCCAGGTTGGGAGCCCTTCCTGCCCCCCATGCCCACGCTGCCTCATTCTGCAGCCCCAGCCACCCTGCGTGCAGATCCACACCCACCCACACAAAGACAGGCACTTGGTGCTGGGGTCTGTGAGGCTGGAGGGACCTCACCCTGGGCTGGTCCACGTCAGCATCCACCTCCACAGCCCCGAGTTACAGACCCCTGTAAATACCTTAACATTGCAGAAGGCAGAGGAGCCCAGGCACTTTCCAGAGTCTGTGGGGCCAGTTCTCTTGGCCTGAAGCCCCTCTGGAGCAGCCAGTATCTTGTCACAAATTCCCAGGTCCCCAGTGCGCTGCAGAGCTCACTGTGCCGAGCGGGAAGGCTGCAGGACCCCTCCACCTCCCAGCCAGACCCCAGGGAGCGGGGCTTGGGTCGCGCAGGGAAAGCCCAGGGTGCCAGCACCTTCCTCCCCACGCATACGCGCTGTAGTGCTTCACCGAGGCCAAGCCGAACATCTCCTTGCTTCCTGCAGCTGATGGTCTCACGCAGCATGGCTCCAAGCCGTGTTTCAGGCGAGACGGAAGAGGCTCCACTGCCAAAACCGGGGAGGGAGTGTGCGGCACTGCCCAGAGCCAAGCAGGGGGTGTGAGGCGGGGAAAAGCCGCAGCAGCCGCATGGGGAGCAGCCAGGAAAACACAGCCTGCTGAGGAATAAGACGTGTGTTGGAGGGGCTATCCATGAAGCTTAGGGAGCAATAAACCTCCAGAAGCCTTTTTCTTTCTCTTACCACTCTCTTCTTCAGGGGCAGGTGCTGGCCAGTGCCCAGAGGAAATCACCCTGCAAGTGCCCAGTGCAGCCGAGAGCAAGTCACGCATTTCCTCCACGTCCTCGGTCTCCACGGATCTGAACAGCCTGGACACCAGCGAGGAGGGGGCCGAGACCCCCGTGGTGCAGTCGGATGAGGAGGACCTGCAGGAGGACAGTCCCAAAGAGCAGGTGACAAGAAGCTAGCAGCCAGCTCTGCCCTGCTCCCAGCCTTCTCCGTACGGACCTGCCAGCCCAGAGGAAGGAAAGCTGCTGGCGCTCAGTGAACCCCATCCTGGACTGCTGCCCTGCAAGAGGGGAGAGTTGTTTTCCTCTCCTCTCGCTCCGCAGGTTCTCCTGGCAGCCAAAGGAGAGGGAAAGGGTTATTGTAGGCTCCCAGAATTAACTCTTCAGGCTTTGCTGCTAACACTCCCTGCTTCACTCCCCCGAAATGCTCAGCATCCCACAGTCCCACCATCCCCAGAAGGTCGTTCCTTGGGATCCCAGCTCCCCCATCCTGCTGACAAGGGTCCTGTCCAGACAAGCATTTAACGATGGCATACAGAGAAATAACACTCCGATCTAAACAAGCAGTGGGTGTCTGTGTTATTGGGAGAAAACCGCACTGGGGGTGAGGGTTAGGTGGGGGTTGCAGGAGGGAGAGCGGTGTAAAGCCAGCATGCTAAGGGTGCCGTGTGGCAGCACATGGAGCCTCCTGACGCGCAGCTCAGCTGCAGCGCAGGGACGGTTCCTGCGCCCAGGGTGGGAGCAGACAGCGGGGACCTCGGCAGAGAAGGGTGGCTGTTAGCGCGGCAGGTCACCACGCTGAGCAGCTCCGGTGCTGCCTCCAGGAGGGAAGGAGACCGCGGCTGCGGCATGGACACAGCTGACCCACACAGGGCTGGTGGTGACC